GGATTTCTGCGGGTGGCCGATGCTGCTCTTGACTGGTTGAAATCGTTGCAAGACCTTCGTCGTCGAGAAAACTGGTTCAACCTACGCATGTTTTTCAGTGAACCAACCGGTGTTTGGGGGACGAGGCAGATGCAATCCTGGAGACCACTCTGTTCACCTCGTGTTATGAAGCGAGTGAACTGGATTGGCACCTAAGCACTTGAGACTAGTTAGTAGCGATGCCCTTTGCTCCTAGTACGGCCAGGAGCCCCTAGTAGCGTCCATGCTCCCAGTAGCGATGCCCTTGCTACTACACTATATGACTATATGGTTTATAGGAAAGAACTGGGTATCCCTCAACTCTCAAACATAGTCGTCGGCTCCGGGTTGTTTGTGAATTGTGGGACCGCCCAAACCACCTACAGAAGGTATGGGTTCGTGTATCCACTGATGTTGCGACAAACCGTCAAACCCAACGTGCGTTTCTGGCCGAAGAACCCTAGAACCCTGACCAAAAGGAAACATCTGTTTGATCAATCCAAGCGTCTAGTTGTCTGCACGCCTGGATGAATGCTTCCACCGCACCGTGCAGCATCTTGATCCTGACAAGGATGGCCCCTAGGACGTAGTCCCACATCAACTATGGATTCAAATGGGGACCGTGGCTTGCTGAGAACAAGGTTACAAGTTCTCCAAACAATATCGCTTAAGAAGAGTGAAGAATGACAATGTCTTTGGCAAATCACATCGAGATGAACGCTTGAAACCATGAAACCTTAAGTTGTCTCATCCCCCATGCCAAGGCAGAACATTGGCCAGTCCTAAAAGGCCAATCAACATCAAACAACTACACACCACCAACACACCAGAAAGGATCGCAGCCATTCAGCAAATCCACCACCAATAATAACTGGCAGTATGCCGCCCTCAGAGCTCCTGATTTAACTCCCTTAGACTGGAATATATTATTGGGCGATTCCCATGCAACCCACTTGGACTTCGGGCTGAGACTGGGCTTGAAGGACATCCTTAAGACAAGCTCACTTGCACCTTCACAAGCTTTCGCCTATCACCGGCTCCATTTCTTCTCCCGCCGAGAAGCACCGCAGCCGAGCGCGCGCCGCCGCAATGCCCCGCGGTCAACGTGAGGCCACCCGAGCGGGCGCGGGAAGCTGCAGCGCCGCGGAAGAGCAGCTCTAGTCTCTCCTGTGGGACTCGGCAACAATCAGAGGTGGTTTGATTGTCAACTGGTGGAGGAGCGTGGTCTCTGATGCAAAGAACTTTAAAATACGTTAAATCAAAAATCATTTTAAGGTGTGGGTGGATTGATGGAAGAAAGGGTGGGTATGTTGCAAAATCTGGCTGCAGGAAGGTGTGCATAGTATCGTCAACTTGTTTGTCTGCAAAAGTTTAGGGGCATAGTCATGCACCACACATTGTGTCCCCAACAAACGTGAATGACAGTGGGGACCTTGCACAAGCTAGTCAATTGAGTCCCAAAAGGTGAAACATTTGGAAGTGCTTCGGGACCAAACTTCTTCCATGTCTTCTGCAAACAGGACGATCTTCTTCACGGACCTCTGGTCCCAAGGGCAAGGGCACACCGAACCCAAGGCCTGAGATGAACATTACCAATTTTTGGTACCCAAGGAGTTTCATCGATTTTTCCACAGCGAACACCCGCTTCTGACTCTTCCTGTTATCCGATATCCACTCCCATCTTGCCATCTGTCCAACCTCCGGTTGCTCCTCCAAGCGCTCCAAGGTTTCGTTCAACTCTCCCGGAGTCCCCTTGTGTTGCCTCTGGCACGGAGCTGCCTTTTAAAGGACAGGTGGAACTTCAGCAATCAAAAAAACATGATGGATTTTTTTTGTTGTTTGAAGAAACATTGAACACACACCAATATTTGAAGAACATCAAGACATCTCTAAACGCTGAACGGTAGTTTGCCAACCCAAACTCATGACGTTTGATTTCCTGTATGTAGAGAAGGCGTGTAATCATTACGTGCATCTGAACCACGGCAAAAACACCTCTGCCTTTTTTTCATACACTCTAACACTCCAAACACATAATTAGACCCATCAGCAAGCTCTGGCCATTTCATCAAAAAAACACCAAACAATCTTTGTTTTTCAGGTGTCAAGACGAGTTAAACCTGTCAAACTAAGAACATGCACATCTTTGAAACCAAACTGGTTTGGTGTTTTTGCTGCAATCTTAGAACAACCAACTTCCGCCCTTTCTGCTCATCCTAGAGGCTCACACCCAGATGCTTCAAAGCGAGGTTTCATCAGGTTGAGAACGCGATCCTGGCTGACGTGTGACCGGATGCCCCACATCGATACGTTACAGTATGGTGTTTTCTGGGAACATGGGTGCAAAGACTTGTGGCCACACCAGCTCAGCTGCATAAACGATTTCTGCCCTTTTCATGTGCCAAACCAAAACACTTCCCAAGGGACACGAGTTCCGCCATATCACAGCCAACCAGGTCAATCACACCACTTCCACCACCCGCAGGCGACGGAGCAACGTCTGCAAATTTTGCCGGTTGTCCAGTTCATCACCAATCGCAGCACCCTGGTAGCCCAAGGCTTGCAACACCATGGGATCGTTTGCCAGCGGCCGCTCGGCGCCCTGGTTCGTGTGTGTGTGTTTGGCGGTGTTTTTTCCTTGTTGTTTTGGGTTACCATATTATTGCTTTGTTTTTGCTTGTTTTTTCCCTATACACCATTTGTGTTTGCCAGTTTTCCTTCGCCTACCTCCGTTTGGATTCTTCTGGACCGTAGAGTAACCTTAAATGATTCTGCAAAGGCTCCAAGATTGAAAAAAAAACACAATCATGAGTCTGTGTTTTTCAGGTGCAAACGGACATTTGTCAAAACTCATTTGATTTTTAACTTTATGTTTGAAAACACAACTCAATAGGAATCAACTTTTTTGTGCTGTCAATATTCAATTGCATTGTTTTTGGAGATCAATCGCAAATGGCCTTATTAAAATTAAATTAATAATTCAATCGCACCATGATAGAAAATTCAACGGCAGTGTGTGCTGTGGTTGTCCATCTTCATGGTCTTTTAAGTCTTCATTGCACATCTTTATACATGTTGCTTTTGTGCAATTTGCGTAGATCTTTTGCAACATTAAAATAAAGCAATATTGTCACATTGCGAGCCCATGGAACACAGGCAGCAAGCAGAAATTACCAATAATAACACAATTGTGTGAAACTAATCTGTGTTGAATTTGATATTCTTTCTACTTTGCATTTGCGGCGTGTTTGCCCGTCACAAAATTTCAGGTCAGGGTTGGCGAGCTTGTGGCCAGGCGCTGGCACAACTGATTTGGCATGACACACTTCCAATGTTTGCTCATGTGAAGCTTATCAAGTAGCAGCAAGCACTATTCATGCGCAATGATGCCCCTTGAACACAAATGATTTGAGCGGCTACACATGTGGTATTTTTAGTTTTGCATTCAACGACTTGCGTGTCGTGGCAGCATTCTGTGGAATGGAACTACATAGACTTTGGGTTGTTGAGCGCTTCGCTTCTTCTTCCGCTGAAGGCAGGGAAGCAAAGCTGAGGCGACTTCACTTTCTGCGCAAAAGAGTTGCTCATGTAACAGCTTCAGCCCTGCCACAACTTCTACAAGAAGTTCAGAAGTCAGGAACTCTGGAATTGGCAAAAAGGAAGCATGTCCATGAGGAAACTGAAAAAGCACTTGGAGAAACTTCATGAACATCATGCATATGAACCACTTCTTAAAAAAGGATGGCTTGACTGGTGTGAATGGGGGGCTGTGGAAATCACAGTTGTCAATTCGGAATTGGCTGGTAATTACATTACATGGTGCATTCATCTAGAGTGGGAGTTCAAGTTGACCCACATGCAGGTCTTCACCATGGAAGGTGCTGCCGTGCACATTTGAGGTTGTGCCTGGCAATGTTTTGGGCCATGGCACGGAGGAATATTATACGTTGTGTATTCCAGCGTGTTTCAGTTGGGTTGAGCCAACTTGGGAAAGCTCGAGTGATTTGGAACAAGCTGGCAGCTGGCGTGGCCGTTAAAGGGCCCAAAGGCCCTTTGACAAGATTGTGCGTGCTCACAGGCAAGTTTTCTCGGTGAAAGGCGACAATGGGTTCGGCTGCTACTTCTTATGCAAGAATGCGTTGCCAAGGCATTCTGGGATTCATGAGTCTGACACTGGCATTTTGGTCACAGAGCTGGTGAGGGGGGAGTCTCAGCTAGACCTCAGCGCAAACCAAGACTTGTGGGGCACACGCAGTTAAAGGCTCTACAACGTTGCATCAACATTGTCACGACATTGCACTATGAGGACAAAATACAATATTGAGAAGAGACAAGCGGCGTGTGGATTGAATTTTCAACCACATGGACTCCTTTTTGTTGGGGAAGCTTGCATTCTACAGTCTTCAAGCCTACACCACAGTTTGTCCATGTTTGGATGCACATGTTTTGTGTGGGAGAAATTGTGCAAACAACCACTTCTCTTTACTGTCAAGTTTGGAAGCAGGTGGCCTTGGCATGTGCAAAATGCTGCCTGAATACTTGGAACTGTGGAAACTGCCTAAGCCTCTGTTCTTGCCTAAGAGGCAGAAAGCAAACAAGGAGGCCAAGGCCAAGGCTTTTAAGTGTGCGGCTTCTGAAGGCTTTCGCTTGTGTCACTTGTATGTATGTAATTTCTAATGTAGTGTAATGTGTCGCAAAGTAACGCAATGTAATTTAGCTTTATGTATGTACGTATGTCAGCATGTATGGTTGTATGAATTTACATAAACTCATGTGTACAAAAATACACATCTCTGACTGAGCATGCACGCATGTCAATGTACATTTATGCGTGGATGTTGGAGTAAGTGGCCCCTGAAAATTCAACCGCAAAACATCGCAAAACCGTTGAACATTTCAGTGTGCATTTTCCAAAATCAAAAAGCAAGCCCTCACAAAACTGCTTTCACTTGAGAACAGGAGGGTGGGCGAAAGGTTAGAAAGCAACGAACTTTGGGCAGCAGCAAACAAAGAGCAGCAAAGCAGCAAGGCCGCAGCAGCAGCAGAAAGGAAGCAAAGCAGCAGCAAAACACCAGCAGCAGCAACAGCAGTGCAGCAGCCGCAGCCGCAGCCGCAGCCGCAGCCGCAGCAGCAGCAGCAGTTCGTGACGAATCGCCTTTCGTGACCCCAGAATCAGGTCATGTATAGAGAAGGATCCAAGCCCTAAGCTAAAGCTATATAACTTTAACTGAACTCAAGGTTACTGAGGCAACCTTTTGTGACAAATTGTAATCGCATCATATCGCATCCGTGTTCCTTGGGTCAAGGTATTCTTTTGGATGTTGAGTTGAACATCCATTTTCCACAGATTTGTTTTGCAAACAAAACAATCGTGAGATTAAAACGAACAGTATTGGAGCCTCTGGGCCCGAAGTGTCTTGACAGTCCATCCATGATCCCATCGACCGCCTGTTCGAATCCAGGCTCGCATAAGGAGACCATCCTGGTCAAGACGAGCCGCATAGACACGACCATGGTTGAAAGAGAAAGGGCCGCCCTTCATAAGAACGTGTATCTGCACATTCAAGTCGAAGAACACCTATGCTCTTCATCCGCACAAGACCAGACCACGTAAAGTGAGCATGGAAGGCGATGTGGTTTCTGAATTCCACCCGTCGATGACGGATCTGGTTTCATCAAATACATGGTGTTTGATCATCCGAAGAACCAATTGCGTCACCAACCTGAAGGACCATGGGAACCTGCTCTGTGTCGCTCCCCCCCCATCACCCAGTCATGTAAGTGATCCGCAGCATCCGACTGATGCCAATCACAGCCTCAGTCAATCAGGGGATGTGAAGACCCAACTGTTTGACAGTTCCAAATGGACTAAACCCAGTGGTGGTGGCACGTTGTGTCCGCGTTCTTTGATGTGGGGACAGTCAAGAGATGTGTAATGCAGAATGTGTGCAAAAGCCGATCTCACTGACATGGATGTGGAGCTTGACACCCCGCAACCAATGTTTTCAGATGCTGACACTTTGAAGGTCGGAAATCCAGCCAGCACAACCACAACAACCACGACGACAACAATCTAGCCACTTACGAGTGATTCATCTCACCCAGCAGGATACCCAATCATCATGTTGAGAAAAAATCTGCAGCCGCACAACTGGATCGGTGTGTCATGTCTGGCTGTGCAGATCGCATGACTGTCTGTACAGTAACAGCTGTGGTCGGTTTCCTCTGCTGAATCGCCCGTTGACAGTAGGCTCTATGCTAAAGTGACTTACTACATCCTACTACCATGTTACTATCACAAACGTCCGTGGTCAGCTCTGCTCGAGTTTGCTTTGACCCCGGACTTCCAGGCACCGGTGTCCCGGTAGGCTCTTGCCCCCACAGGGCACCCAAAGCGCACCTCCTGAGAGCAAATAAAACCGAAGAAAGAGAAAATAATAGCATGGCCTCCAACCTAATAGGAATGGCCTCCAACCCAATAGGAATGGCCTCCAACCTAATAGGAATGGCCTCCAACCTAATAGGAATGACCTCCAACCAAATAGGAATGGCCTCCAACCTAATAGGAATGACCTCCAACCAAATAGGAATGGCCTC